GGCCCATAAACCCAAAATCCCGGTCGTTTATCCTCTGAGCACTGAATTCAGAAACAGTTTAGACAGATTTTGAAATGCCAAAGCCAAAAACGCTTCAAGTTCGAGCTTTAAAAAAAGACACTGTGTCTTAATTAATTCACATCATTATATACATCCTAATGAATGACAGCGGATATAATTCAATCAAATTTTATAAGTCAGGAACTATGAAAACATAGGGTTAGAGCTGTAGAAAAAAGCCCTTCAAATCGAAATCTGAGAAATAATTCTTAGTTCAGTTCATGTCCTTTCACTCATAGCAAATACTGGGTCGCTTGGGAGAAGCAAATTTAGGTAACTTTGGCAACTCAAGAACCAAAGTGGATTTAGGAATAAAACTTTGGGCAGAATATGCAGCTGAGAACCTGAAAAGCAGCTTCTAGTTTCTACACTTTGACCTCAAGCAAAAGTTGAGCCAAAAAATATCATGCCTATTTTGTGCACAAATGATCCATTTGTCACAAAAATTCCATTCCAGAACTGTGAAAGCTAAAATGTCACATAAGAACGAAGAAGTGTAAAATCAACTTTCGCATTCTTTCACAGTCTAACACAAAGAGCATGAGAGATTCGGCCCTATGAGTTAGCATCATGTTCACACAGTCTGAGCGTACAGGCTATATATTATTGTCCGACAAATCAGTGTAGAAGACTAATCGTAAAATCAACTGTTTGACGTTTTGTCACATCTATCTTCGATAAAACCACAATAGCATAACTGTAAAAATGGGTATCCGTGCCGGTCGGCCGGTACTGCATCGGACGCCCTTCTTCAATTGTGCGATATTGCATCACAATTCGGCAAGGAACAGGCTGGACCATAGTGGCAGGAGAGGCACTGTGCATTACGGTTGACATTCCGGAAAATAAGAAACCAGCAGCAGCGCACCAGAGGCCGCAAGTCGATGGTGAGTGTGAATGAGTGACCACAACCACCAACTGATGGTCACTCATTCGCACTCAGTGTGTTCCTCCGCCTGCTAGCATGTCGGATGAGCTTCATTCAAACGCTACTATCCCATTCTTACGTTTCATGTTGTAGTAACGGCCCGAAAGGTGTACTGTCGAGATCCGGTCTCCTGCGTGTGCTTATTCGTATGTATTCGGTTCACCTCAGCAACCAGAAAAATCAGGAAGTTTAAATTTCAGGAGAACGTTCCTTACCCATTTGTGACTCCACAGATTCAAATTCAGCTCTCATGTATGCCTACATCTCACTCGCAGGCACGCAATTGTCTTTTTTAGAACTCAGGAACTAAAATTACGCAAGGATAACTCACGTCCGTTTGAGACCCAGGTGGCGGTAAATGTTCTAATTCGAGAGACTGACAAGATCGATAGCTGAAATTTTGCAAAAATAGTAGTTCCTGTTCTTGGAACTGAAATTTTGCTTCTGTCTACATCTCACTCATAAATATGGGATATTTTTTCTAGCACAGTCGGGCAGAACTATATTACAAACACAGTAGTACTGATTACTTGGTGTGCGCCGCTTATTTTTTTTTTTTTTTTTTTATTAATTTAGCCTCGCTTTGAGTGTAATATTATCAGTTCAATGAACATCTGATTCAATGAATGCATCACTCATTTTTCTCTTCTTTTGCTCCTTCTGTCCTTGGCCAGCCAGTTTTACTGAAAAGCAATTCTCCGAGGACCAGATGCGATGCATATTGGTGTGTGATGTGTAGCGGTTCTTTCATAACTTTGCCCAATCCTTGGCCTTACATTACAACCACTCATTTTTATTCAACGGCACAAAGTACATTCAAGTAAAATTAACGGCCACCAAAAAAACCGAAAGATAAATTTCAAAGAGTGCAAAAGATAAATTTCGAAGAATGGTAAATTTCAAAAGATAAATTTCGAAGAGTGAATCCACGGGCTTGCTGGACAAGAAACTTTAGTTTCGCTCTTTGAAAAATAAAAAGCTTAAAAGAGGTTTCTGCCCCAGTCCTCCCTATCTTGTCTTCGAAAATCGCCCCTCCCCCCTCGTTATATCAGTGAGACCACCGACAACTCAGCGATGCGTTTGAATGAAATGCCAAGACACTGAAGGTCATAGCCATGTCACCGAGCTCAAGTGCTAACGAATACTTATGACAGCTGTTGCTGAAAAGTAGAAATCGGATACTAGAGAACTGTAGCTAATACCAACCGCACTAATAACTCGCTGAACTCCGTTTGTTCATGAGCACTTCTTGTTCTTTTGGTACTCAAAGTGTATACCTCGAAGAGCAAACAGTGTAAAAGATTAGCTGAGTATCGTGAACGAAGCCCCTTTTCGAAAGGTGTTCTAGACTTGGGGGAATCGAACCACCTCTCTCCATAGCCGGATGTATCGTGCTATTACTGGCATTTCTAAACCACATAAAACTCTACTGGAGCACCTATATTCTTTAGGTACAGCATTCGCACACATATTTTCCACCTTCCGGCTGTAGCAGTTTTTGCAGTATATCCTTTCAGAAGTCGCCGGCTTTTCTGTGACCCAATGCTATAGAGACACCGCGGCCCATAAATACGCTATGAATATCTTTGCCGATTTTTTAAGCCGCTTACTTCACCTAGGGCACTATGTAGTTCGAAGAAGAATGGTTCGATTCCGTTCCGGTCCACAACCGTTTTCGAAAAGCGATTTCGTTCATGACACTGTGAGCATTCAGCTGTTTTTCCAGGATCCCGCTTTATGTGTTGCCCAATGCTAAACCAGAAATTCAAACATTTCGTGCTGAGCTTGAAGATTCAAAAAAAAGACAGAAGGCTGTAATTTGCGCGGTGTTTTTCTTTTCGTGTATCAGATCAGTGCTTCCGGATCTCTTTCTCCATGAATACGAGTTGAATTGAGGTGAAAACTGCGCACGTGGCTGACAAAACGGATCGAAATCTGTCGCTGACAAAACGGAGCAGGCTCACGTCCTCCGTAATGAGGCAAACTCGACAGGTAAGCTGTTTTTTATTGCTGTTTCACCTTAAACAAACAAGGGCTCCAAAGCCAAATCACAATGTCTGTCAGGACGGGAAGGCGAGGCGGGGAGGGGGAGGGGAAGGAGGAGGGGGAGGTCGAAAGCGGGTACGGTGTGAGGAAGTCGTTAATTGACTTAATACCACTGCCCGTTTTGTGTGATCGACAGTGTTACTTCAGGAATGGCAAACACACGGAAAGACAGACTTGGGGAAAGGGGCGGACAGACAGGCCCATGGCTAGAAAGACAAAACGGGGGGG